GGGGTCCGTTTTCACACATACCCTCATATTGCGGGTCCGGCAGCATTTTTTATTCTGGTGAATGCTCCTGCCTCCTTTGCGTGAGAGGCCATTGTAGTTTTCACCCAGCTCACATGCGCTTTGCACCGGTCCTTTTTGATCTACCCCCTCTCTATGCACCTGTGGCGATGGGTGCAGCGCGCATTTTGGCCACGCAATGCAATGAGGCACAATCCACGTGAGAGTCACAGTTATCGTCATGCACTTCTGACGAATTTTTGGCAGACGGATGCTCTGCGGTTAGAGACCATGATATATATGCTATGGCCGTTGGAGAAAACTCCTACGGCATTTGAATCCCAGGGGAGTTCGGGAAAAGGCAACAGCGGAAACTGCTTTTTTGGTTTGTTGTGTGTTTCTATGGTACACTGTTAGAAGGCAAGCAAGGACACAACCAGCAAGATGTCCTTATAATTACATGTGTTTGTTTCCTTTTTCCACACTTAATCTCTGAACATCCCACAATTAGTTTCAATGTTTACCTTGCACTTCAATTCATCATATTGCCGATTATTCGGTTTGCGCATTTCTATGCGTGAATTCGAGCCGTGCCAATTTTGATGCAGTTTTGGAGGGGCGCTCCGTGCTTTCCAGAGTTCTGCGTTTTGTCGCCGGAGTGCCGCCCCCTCATGCTCTAGGGACAAGTTCCCCATTTTTTGGCGTGACCCTTCTTATCAACAAACCACCAATAACACGAAAACAACAACAACACCCTCGTGTTTTCAGAACAATGGTCACAAAGAATGGAGGAATCAACCCCTAAAAATGTGCTTGCGCAGCCTCAAAGTCAGGGCGGCCCAGCATTTCAGGGCGCATTTGGCGCGCTGAAGTGCCTTCGGACAATAAATATGGTCTGGGCGAATCACTATACCTGGGTCCATCGAAGTGACATCCACAACCTGCCAAAATGGCGGTTCGAAAGGAAACCCTTCAACTGCAAGTTTGAGAAGCCCTCAAGATGTTCACTTCAAGGGACCAGGTATAGGACACAAACCGGAACTCAGCGGTTTTGCTCGGTACAGCCGCGGATTTGCCCAGACGAATTCCAAATCCGCGAACTCATCCTGTATATATAAACGGGGGCGTTGTGATCGATCTGACCATCCCGTGGTTTCCGTGACCTTGAGAGGCCGCAGTTGAGCTGCCTGTGAGGCTCGGGATGGGAACCGAAGTTACGGGTTGATTGACAAGGTCTTTTTCTAGACATGTGAGGCTATATCTATATCACATGCAAGCCTCGAAGCACGGAAGGAGAAATGAAAGTCTCGGATTGGAGCTTGCGGTTGCTATGTTCCCAGGCTAACCCGGCATTTACCAGTGGACACCGCAGCAATGGCACCGTTTGTTTTTCTTCCTCGGGGTGAACCGAGAGGAGACTCTGCCAAAGAATCTGTTCAGTTTCCGTCTCAGTATTTCCCTGATTCAAAGCGGGAGTCCCTCTTAGAGGGGTTCGGATCAGCCAGATACCTCTGGCACTCTTCGCTTCTACCAAGGTGTCGACAGCTCTTTGTTGGCTGGTCCGGGAGGGTTTTTCAAGACTACCCTCCTCTCAAAAAGGCACCTTGTGCTCTTCCATGATGGAAAAATGGGTAACTCCCCGTGCATTCCCCCAAGCAACAGCCAAGATCGGAACCACGGGGCGGCTGTACAGGATTTTCAGCGCGCTTGTTTGCTGCGGCTAAAAAAGGAAAGCTGGCGGATGGCACAGAACAGCTGGCTACCCTGTGGGCACTCATTTTCCGGAATGTTAGGGGCAAATGTAAGTTGGAAACACGGGTTCGGACAAACTGGTACCAATTCCTTTTGGGTTCACAGAAACACATGAATAGACGCTGCTGTGTGTCCTCTTGCGAGTGACTTACGGCAGCATTGCCTTGCCACGAAGCTCCATTCCACACCCCACTCTTGCTTTCTCCCGGGTGCTTTGTCCGGTTCTGAAGAAAGGTTTTGGTCAAACCAGTCGCGACTCCCGTGCACCATCCTGCCGAACTCACACTTTTGGCTCTCGGAGCCCAGAATTTGTGTGCGAGAAAGCCAGCTGGACATGGGTTGCAAAAAGTCCACATGGCTCAGAGGGTTCTGTTCAGCTCATGTTTTTCTTCGGACCGGGTTTCCCTTCTCCCGCGCGACTTCGCGCCCAGGGCGGGAGTGCCACCTCGCGAGGCCGCGGTTGGGGAGATGGGCGGGGGGTGGGTGGGTTGTAAAGGAATTAAAGGAATGCTAATATCAGGGATGGAACGAGGGGATGGTTCCCACTGGGAGGAACCTCCCCCCTTGTGACGAACTAGTCATTCACAAGGAGTGCCATATTGTTTACGGACGCTTTCGCCCGCTGGATTGGGAAGTGTTTCCCAGTCTCCTGGAAAGCGAGCGAGCAAGCGAGCAAGCAAGCGTTCAAGCATTCAAGCATTCAAGAATTCAAGCGTTCAGGCACTCAGGCATTCGGGCATTCAGGCGTTCAGGCATTCACACATTGAAGCATTCACGCATTCACGCATTCACGCATTCAAGCATTCAAGCAAGCAAGCAAGCAAGCAAGCAAGCAAGCAAGCAAGCAAGCAAGCCAGCAAGCCAGCAAGCCAGCAAGCCAGCAAGCCAGCAAGCCAGCAAGCCAGCAAGCCAGCAAGCCAGCAAGCCAGCAAGCCAGCAAGCCAGCAAGCCAGCAAGCCAGCCAGCCAGCCAGCAAGCCAGCAAGCCAGCAAGCCAGCAAGCACGCAAGCACGCACGCAACACGCAACCAGAGCAAGCAAGCATCCACCAAAAGCCAATCCCAAACCCACCCTAAACTCGGCTTAAACCCACCCGAAGTATACCCTAAGCCTACTCCAAGCTCACCCTGGACATACCCCAAACCTGCCTTGAGCCCACTCACCCTACACCTACGTTACCATACCCAATCCACCCCCAACCGACCCTAAACTGCCCTAAACCCACCCTAAACCCACCCTAAAGCGCCCCCCACCCTAAGTCACTTTGAATCTACCCTAAACCCACGCTAAATCCACAGTAATCAAACCAACCCCACACCAACCCCAAAACCGTTTTTAACCCCCACCTAAACCTACTTCAAACCAACCCCAAAAACTAACCCTAAACTGTACGCCCTAAACCCACCCAACAACTACCCTAAGCCCACCTCAAACCCACCCTAAGCCCACCACCCTACCCACCCTGAGCCCAGCCCTAAACGCACCCTAAACGCACCACAAACCCATCAAATCCCCACCCTAAGCCCATCCTAAACCAACTCTAAACTCACCCTAAACTCACCCCCACTCAAATCCACCCTGAAACTACTCCCTCCTTCTCATCGCCCTGCCCCCAAGCCCTAAACCCAAGACCCAGCTTGAACCCCCCCAACCCACTCTAAAACGGACAGGAACAAGAATCTCACACACGTCGGACAAAAAGTCACCCCAGTTGGAATTCTCGCTCTGAATTTCCCTAAGATACGGCACCCCTTTGCTTGAATGCTGTTCTGTTGGGGTTCCTTCATTTCCAACAACAATCGGGTTCCCCATTTCAATAATTATCCCGAATCACTGGGAGTTCACAACCTGACTCGTGAAGCGCACTTTAACGGGAAACTCTTGTCTTTGCACCGGGTGGAACACTGCGCATCCAGCTGTGTCTAAAGTATCAATTTGGCCCCGGCCATAGACTTTTACACAACAGAAGTATGGTGTGGAGGGATTGACGGAGGGGAAGTGATTATGTTCACCAATCCAGAGAAATGTCGAGCACTTTGGGCACCAACAAATGGACGACCCAGCCTGTTGATTTGGCGGTTTATATTTGTGGTGTCCAAAGAACTGGGACCATCTTCTGTATGTTGCCCAAACAAAAAAACATTGTCGTCATAATCTGATAATGTTCAAGATGATCCAGTCAGTCAAGACATCCTGTACTATGTTTGTTTGCTCCAGATTCATTGGCTCTCCTGTTGCAACGGGGGATGACAAGGTACACTCACCAATCTCTGAACTACTCCGAATCACGCAGCCCTCCACTTGTGTTTGAGACTCAGGACAGGTGGACTCAAGACTTGTTTTTCGAAGGACGAAGGCATAGGCCATATTTCCGCCTGCAGTGTGCGGCAGTTGCTGGGTTGGGTATACCATGCACGTTTGCTCTACGTATCCCACGCCTATGGTTGTCAACAGTTCTTTTGGACATTAAGGGCTGATCCCTTTTGAACATGTATTATTGTCGTTACTATTATCATCATGTCCAGAAAACGGTCTGGATGCGCGTTTTGTTCATTTCACCTGTTCTTCCCCCTGTTTTTTTTAGTACTCTTCCAATCTCCTACACGGGTGGATCCAGAAAAACCGCGGTTCTATCTTATTATCATCATCATTATCATTATTATTAGTATTGCTAATATGTTTTTTGTTGTGGTTTTGTTCTTTAGGGGGGGGACCTTCGAGGCTTGGCCAGAAGCAGATGGAAATGATCGAGGACCTTTGCAAAAGTCACGAGCACGAAGTGGGCGGCCAGCTCATGCTGCTGGTGTGGCCTGGCCGGAAAGTAAGGCAAAAAAGGCGTCCAGTGGCCAAGTCTGCCTTTTGACATCCCCTTTGAGCTTGAACTTTAGTGGTCTCGGGAAAAGAAAAGGAGCCCTTCTTGAGCTAAGCGTGTTTTGAGCGGAAAGGAACCAGCTGAAAGAGAAATGAACAATGAACCCTGCTACACATTAAAGAGGGGTTTGCCATTTGACCATCCGATCTTGGTAGGCACAACCCTCTCTTCTTGACAGAGTTCCATGCCTGTAGCAGGCAAGGTCTGGTACTGTAGGCTAAAGGGCCTCGAGGAGGTTGGCGACATGAATCCCATAGTCACGCTGACATGTCATGCGCACTTTTCGAGCAACCACTTGACAAAAGGCACTTGTCCCAACCGTTTCCTTGGGACCCCAAACTACCTACGATAGGTGTTGCGGACCCCAAATCCGGGAATTTTCAACTGACCGCCAGGAGGTTGAGAAGCCCAGCCTCAAACGCTGGAAGTGCATCTTGAGCACTCGCCTGCGTTGAATTCCATGCACTTGTAAACATGAAGCGGAAATGAGACATGACACCCGCGATGAAATCACCTTGTGGGTCTCCCCTATTTCAGGTCGGTGAGATGTCGTTCCCGTGCTAGCGCCAGTTGCCCGGTAGACACCTTGTTTCGCTTGTTGGACACGAAACCGTGGCAAAATGCTGCGGGCTGTTTCTCGGGGAGGCTCGCTCAGCACTTTTGGAAGCTAGGACAACGGGCCAAATTAACATTTTGCTAAAGCTTCACCTTCTGGGCGTGTTTGTATGTTTGTGAGGGAGCGCTTTGGTTTTTTACACCAAGAAATCGCGGCGTCAGTTCGGTTTGAACGCCCCACGTTTCCCGCAAGGGCCGACGTGTCGCACATGTTGAAGATGCTCCTGGGCGTGGAGATGGACTTCGCCATTAACGATGCGGTGCCCTGTCCGCACCTGGGGCCTCATCTCATGTTGTTGTGTTGTTTTGTTATTATTATTATGTTTATTATTATAATTGCTACTATTATTATTATGATGATTATTATTATTATTACTGTTATTATTATTATGATTATTATTATTATTATTACTATTATTATTATTATTATCATTATTAGTGTTATTATTATTTCTATGATTATTAGTATTGATATTATTATGATTATTACCATGATTTATTTTATCATTATCATTATTATTTCTATTATTATTTCAGGGCGAGACGAATTATGAGACATCTCAAAAAACAAAGAGGCAGCGGGGCCGCATCCCAGCTTCCCACTCACAGCATCACCTGTAGCCCTAACCTGGGCAACCACATCTGAAATTCTATCTGCTAAGTTCCATGTTGTTGGGGAGGCGGGGGGGTATCTTTGGGAAGACTGTGATTTAGCGACAAATCAGGCCAGGACACCTCTGAGATGGATGCCCCAGTTCAGTGTTGCACACTGTTCTCAAGCGAGCAACTTTGCCATCCGAGTATGCACCGTTACTCCAGCGTGTATAAGTTGTCGCGAGGGCTTGTATACATCTTTGAGGTTTTACTGTCGGGAATTATATAGCACTTCCATTTGGCTTTGGAGCTCTAGTAGTTAGCTCAGGATTAGGTTAAGAGTGTTTGCATGGAGTAACAACAAGTCTTTGACTTTAATAAGGCTTTCGGGGATCAACGAACCACGTATTCGTACCCATTTGCCACTGCAGGCCTGATGTCAAAGCTCATCCGCAGCTTGTTGCAGCGGGTGTGTTCTCACTGACTAGCAACTGTGTGAGGGCCGAGGCGTCGCGCTATGTTTTCGGCGGCATGTCTCCGCCGATTTTCGGTTGGCGGTGCTTGACCAGGGATCGTGAGTACAGCATGAAGCTTTTGTGCAAAGATTGTGCTAGCTAACCTTATATAGCGCTTTATTGCACCAAACGTGACATGTTGGGGCCATGATAAGTCATGGTGATCAATGTGCTTTGCGTGGTATAACCTGAGTCTTATCTACAGTCGCAAATCACGTAGCATTCCTCCCTCGATTCACCAAAATACCAAATGTGTAAGCAAGGCCCAAGCTCGCATTGGGCTGAATTGCCGTGTTCCTTTCGAGGGACTTAAACTATGTTGCCGTAAGACTTCCCGTGCAGGTGACGCATGCTTGGGGACAAGAGACCTGGCCGGACACCCATGTCACCCACGAGCAGTTTGCGGGGATCGTCTCCTGGTACGTGTCCCTCGGCTTGAAGGCAGACGCTATAATTTGGGCCTCATTTAGGAGATTGGACGGGTAAATGACTAAACAATCCCCCCCCCAAAATGGGCCAGTCTGTGTCTTGAACGGTCTCCAAAATACATGTCTGCAGTCGACTTGAGTTGTTTTAATTTTCAGGCAATACCCGCAACGGCTTGGTTCCCACCACAGTGCATGCTTGCTCCACTGCACCCAGTCATGCCTGCCGCAGTGCGTGATTGCTCAACTGTACAGACGTTCTCATGCTCAACAGTATACATTGCAGTGCATACCATTTTGGAGGCGCGGGGGGAGCAAAAGGGTCTGCAAAGGATTTCTTGCTGTTTGGCTTCTCTCTGGCTCCGGTTGCACCGGCCCCACTGCTCTCATTCTCTCGCCCTTTTCCCCGGAAGTCGCCTGGGCCTGGATCAGTCGGGCCAAATCATTGCGTGAGTTTGAAAACTTCCTCTCATTTTTCTCGGAAGCTTTCTGAGAGGTGCAAAAGTCTCACTTGGCCCAAAAAGATACCAGTTTGGCCAAGTCGCATAGCCGGAGGAATCGGCCGATTGAGGAAGCGACGAGAGCGGGACTGGAAGGTGCTGGAAGGCATCTTTGACCTTTTGGGCCACTCCAACCTCATACAGGGCCTGAATTGTGACAACCTCCAGGCCGGACGAGTTATGAGCAGAAGAGAGGAACCCCCATGGCCACACAAGGTTTATCGCCTCGAATGCCCCCGAGCTGCCTTTCTAAGACAGGAGCAATCGTCTTGCTTGAGAAATGGAGTTGAAAGAAGGACATTGCAAGAGTTTCTTTTTGTGGCGAACGTGCCTCAGACTGTTAATGTTCAAGCAGAATTTGCAAGGACGGCTTGCCCGAGTGGTCTAAGGGGGTGGACTCAAGTTCCAGTAGCGCAAGCTGAGTGGGGTCACTTGTGTGCATGTTTGGTATTTGTGGGTGTGGTTTGTTTGTTGTTTGGTCTGGTTTGTTTGTTTTGTTTGCATTGTTTGGTTTTGTTTAGTTTATTTGGTGTCTATGTGTTTGCTTGAGTGTTTGTGTGATTTCTTGTTTGTTTGTGTGCTTGCGTGTTTGCTTCATTGCTTGCTTGTTTGATTGTTTGTGTTTGCTTCTTTGTTTGGTTGGTTTGATTGCTTTGGTTTGTTTGCTTTTGGATTGCTTGTGTTGGTTTGCTTGTTTTGGTGTGTTTGTTTTAGTTTGTTTGTTTTGGTTTGTTTGTTTCGGTTTGTGTGCGTGACACAACAAACACACAGACACACAAACAAAACAGAGAAACAAAGAAACAAACAAGGACGCGAAGGAAGCGCGGAAGGATACAGAAGGTTGTATAGGAGTGAGTACACTGAACCGCCGAAGGGTTAGGGACGCTGCACCATATCTATATCTATACATATGTATGTATGATGTATGTATGTATGTATGTATGTAATGTATGTGTGTATGTATGTATGTATGTATGTATGTATGTAATGTATGTATGTATGTATGTATGTATGTATGTATGTATGTATGTATGTATGTATGTACGTACGTACGTACGTACGTACGTACGTACGTACGTAATGTATGTAATGCAATGAAATGTAATGTAATCTAACGTAATGCAATGTAATGGAATGTAATGTAACGTAATGTAATGTAAATGTATTGTAATGTAATGTAACGTAATGTAATGTATGTATGCATGAAACGTAATGTAATGTAATGTAATGTGATATGTAATGTATGTATGTATGTATGTATGTATGTATGTATGTATGTATGTATGTATGTATGTATGTATGTATGTATGTATGTATGTATGTATGTATGTATGTATGTATGTATGTATGTATGTATGTATGTATGTGTATGTATGTATGTATGTATGTATGTATGTATGTATGTATGTATGTATGTATGTATGTATGTATGTATGTATGTAATGTATGTATGTATGTATGTATGTATGTATGTATGTATGTATGTATGTATGTATGTATGTATGTATGTATGTATGTATGTATGTAATGTATGTATGTATGTATGTATGTATGTATGTATGTATGTATGTGTATGTATGTATGTATGTATGTAATGTATGTATGTATGTATGTATGTATGTATGTATGTATGTATGTATGTATGTATGTATGTATGTATGTATGTATGTATGTATGTATGTATGTATGTATGTATGTATGTATGTATGTATGTATGTATGTATGTATGTATGTATGTATGTATGTATGTATGTATGTATGTATGTAATGTATGTATGTATGTATGTATGTATGTATGTATGTATGTATGTATGTATGTATGTATGTATGTGTATGTATGTATGTATGTATGTATGTATGTATGTATGTATGTATGTATGTATGTATGTATGTATGTATGTATGTATGTATGTATGTATGTATGTATGTATGTATGTATGTATGTATGTATGTATGTATGTATGTATGTATGTAATGTAATGTAATGTAATGTAATGTAATGTATGTATGTATGTATGTATGTATGTATGTATGTATGTATGTATGTATGTATGTATGTATGTAATGTATGTATGTATGTATGTATGTATGTATGTATGTATGTATGTATGTATGTATGTATGTATGTATGTATGTATGTATGTATGTATGTATGTAATGTATGTATGTATGTATGTATGTATGTATGTATGTATGTATGTATGTATGTATGTATGTATGTATGTATGTATGTATGTATGTATGTATGTATGTATTATGTATGTACGTAATGTATGTATGTATGTATGTATGTATGTATGTATGTATGTATGTATGTATGTATGTATGTATGTATGTATGTATGTATGTATGTATGTATGTATGTATGTATGTATGTATGTATGTATGTATGTATGTATGTATGTATGTATGTATGTATGTATGTATGTATGTATGTATGTATGTATGTATGTATGTATGTATGTATGTATGTATGTATGTATGTATGTATGTATGTATGTATGTATGTATGTATGTATGTATGTATGTATGTATGTATGTATGTATGTATGTATGTATGTATGTATGTATGTATGTATGTATGTATGTATGTATGTAATGTATGTATGTATGTAATGTAATGTAATGTATGTATGTATGTATGTATGTATGTATGTATGTATGTATGTATGTATGTATGTATGTATGTATGTATGTATGTATGTATGTATGTATGTATGTATGTATGTATGTATGTATGTATGTATGTATGTATGTAATGTATGTATGTATGTATGTATGTATGTATGTATGTATGTATGTATGTATGTATGTATGTATGTATGTAATGTATGTATGTATGTATGTATGTATGTATGTATGTATGTATGTATGTATGTATGTATGTATGTATGTATGTATGTATGTATGTATGTATGTATGTATGTATGTATGTATGTATGTATGTAATGTATGTATGTATGTATGTATGTATGTATGTATGTATGTATGTATGTATGTATGTATGTATGTATGTATGTATGTATGTATGTATGTATGTATGTATGTATGTATGTATGTATGTATGTATGTATGTATGTATGTATGTATGTATGTATGTATGTATGTATGTATGTATGTATGTATGTATGTATGTATGTATGTATGTATGTATGTATGTATGTATGTATGTATGTATGTATGTATGTATGTATGTATGTATGTATGTATGTATGTATGTATGTATGTATGTATGTATGTAATGTATGTATGTATGTATGTATGTATGTATGTATGTATGTATGTATGTATGTATGTATGTAATGTATGTATGTATGTATGTATGTATGTATGTATGTATGTATGTATGTATGTATGTATGTATGTAATGTATGTATGTATGTATGTATGTATGTATGTATGTATGTATGTATGTATGTATGTATGTATGTATGTATGTATGTATGTATGTATGTATGTATGTATGTATGTATGTATGTATGTATGTATGTACTGTATGTATGTATGTATGTATGTATGTATGTATGTATGTATGTATGTATGTATGTATGTAATGTATGTATGTATGTATGTATGTATGTATGTATGTATGTATGTATGTATGTATGTATGTATGTATGTATGTATGTATGTATGTATGTATGTATGTATGTATGTACTGTATGTATGTATGTATGTATGTATGTATGTATGTATGTATGTATGTATGTATGTATGTATGTATGTATGTATGTAATGTATGTATGTATGTATGTATGTATGTATGTATGTATGTATGTATGTATGTATGTATGTATGTATGTATGTATGTATGTATGTATGTATGTATGTATGTATGTATGTATGTATGTATGTATGTATGTATGTATGTATGTATGTATGTAATGTAATGTAATGTAATGTATGTATGTATGTATGTATGTATGTAATGTATGTATGTATGTATGTATGTATGTATGTATGTATGTATGTATGTATGTATGTATGTATGTATGTATGTATGTATGTATGTATGTATGTATGTATGTATGTATGTATGTATGTATGTATGTATGTATGTATGTATGTATGTATGTAATGTATGTATGTATGTATGTATGTATGTATGTATGTATGTATGTATGTATGTATGTATGTATGTATGTATGTATGTATGTATGTATGTATGTATGTATGTATGTATGTGTAATGTATGTATGTATGTATGTATGTATGTATGTATGTATGTATGTATGTATGTATGTATGTATGTATGTATGTATGTATGTATGTATGTATGTATGTATGTATGTATGTATGTATGTATGTATGTATGTATGTATGTATGTATGTATGTATGTATGTATGTATGTATGTATGTATGTATGTATGTATGTATGTATGTATGTAATGTATGTATGTAATGTAATGTAATGTAATGTAATGTAATGTAATGTAATGTAATGTAATGTAATGTAATGTAAATGTAATGTAATGTAATGTAATGTAATGTAATGTAATGTATGTAATGTAATGTAATGTAATGTAATGTATGTATGTATGTATGTATGTATGTATGTATGTATGTATGTATGTATGTATGTATGTATGTATGTATGTATGTATGTATGTATGTATGTATGTATGTATGTATGTATGTATGTATGTATGTATGTATGTATGTATGTATGTATGTATGTATGTATGTATGTATGTATGTATGTATGTATGTATGTATGTATGTATGTATGTATGTATGTATGTATGTATGTATGTATGTATGTATGTATGTATGTATGTATGTATGTATGTAATGTAATGTATGTAATGTATGTAATGTAATGTAATGTAATGTAATGTAATGTAATGTAATGTAATGTAATGTAATGTAATGTAATGTAATGTAATGTAATGTAATGTAATGTAATGTAATGTATGTATGTATGTATGTATTTATGTATGTAATGGAATGTATGTACGTATGTATGTATGTAATGTACTTTTCTTGTAATGTAATGTAGGTAGGTATGTATGTAATGTAATGTAATTTCATGTAATTTAATGTAATGTAATGTAATGTATGTATGTATGTATGTATGTCTATATACATGGCGACACATTTGAATAGGGAGCCACCTTACGAGGTGGACATGAACCCTGCTGTCCGCCAAAGGGTCCCATCAAGATTCACATTTTTTTTATTTATTTTTTTAAATAATTAATTTGCGCCGAAGCCAAGGAATATTAGTTGC